AGTTGGCACTGTGTAGCTACTAAGTGTGCTAACATACATACTGCACTCTTGAAATCCTGATCAGATGGAATAGGAGGAACTAGAGGTGGTACTGCTGGTGGAGCCGGAAGTCCTGTAGCCCTCGGAGGCTCCTGAAGCGGTGGAGAAGCCGTTGGGGGCTGAGAAGATGTCTCCCCCTGGGTCTCACAATGGGCTACCTCCACCTGTGGTACCTTGCCAGTACCCTCACTTGCAGTTGTATCTAGCCCTTAGCTAGTTGTGGTCTGTCTAGTGTCAGTCATCTCTATCTGCATACAATTATCAATTATAAGCCATAAACCTCAACCCTTAAGACACCGCTCTATAGCACGAGGTGAGCAAAAGAAGGATAGTCATTCTAACATGCCCGGTAGCTTCTTGCTTATCGGATGTGGTGCACAACACATTTAAAAACAAGACTCTACTGGACATGGCTTGCAGACTCCTTAAGATACGACATTGCTCTAATACCAAGTTTGTCACGCCCCAAACTCAAGGCCCGAGCTAACCCTGCTGAACCATTTGCTACTAGCGAATGGTAGCCACACGCAATCAAGAAATCAAACAAGTATATCTAACCCCGGAAGGTGCCAATCAACCTATATACCCCTATCAGTAGTCCGCTATCCCCGTAGGCAGTCACATAGTCCTCTTAGGCATTAATATAGCCCGTAGGCATTCACATAGCCCTCTTAGGCATTAATATAGCCCCGTAGGCATTCACATAGCCCTCTTAGGCATTAATATAGCCCCCGTAGGCAGCACATAGTCTCTCTTAGGCATTAACATAGCTTATAGACAACTCATAGCCCTCTTAGGCAACAACATGGCCCTGTAGGAAGCACATAGCCTTCTTAGGCGTCAATATAGCCCTGTAGGCAACTCATAGCCCTTCTAGGCATCAATATAACCCCGTAGGCAACTCATAGCCCTTTTAGGCATCCATATAGCCTTGTAGGCAGAACATAGCCCTTCTAGGCATATATCACATTCGTACAACTAACCACAATATCCCCAAGGGCAACAATAACAATCCAATCACTAAAAACGAGCAATTTAGTTATAAGCAACCTATACAAATAGCCTCTAAGTCGTGTCCAACATAGGGACGTTACTAACTGAATAAGAATCCCGACAAGGGAGGATTGTATCAACTCGAGCAGTCAACAATCAACAATAATGACTACAAGTGTAACAATGATAACAACTCAATTACATTACTCCTAAGCTTTAAGGAAACATGCCGTAAGTAGGGAATAGCCTTAACATAACTTTCTAATGAACGCTCGAAAGACTGTAGTTCCTTCACAAAAGTTGTTTCTTATGTCCTAAGCTTCGCAAACACTATATATACACAACTAGTACGCACCTATAAATAGTTCATAATTAATCTTAAATCGGCATATTTGCCATATTGCCCCAACTTGTCGAAACGTCCGTAGAAATTCATAAAAACAACCATAGAAGGGTCCCGAGATGATTACCTTAGTTAACCAAGTGTAAACCTTGAAGAAACACCAATAACTACAAATTTATATCTTCAAAAACCAGCTCCAAACACAGCTAATAGAAGGGAAAAATGATTTCCACGTGTAAGGATTACGTTTGTAGGCACGGAGGCAATGTTTAATGGTAGAAATTGTCAAAAACTAACCTTCATTATGCTATAACTTCATAGGAACCCTCTCTTAAGCTTTCTCTCTGGTTTGGAACTGAAAATAAAATGTTTTCATGGCTTAAAACGTTAAATAAGCCGACATACCATATTTTTTACCCAACCCGGATTCTGCCCCGACAGTCCCTAGTAAAACCATGATAACATTTTACTTTGATGTCGGTTTGATAAGAGGTTTTATGCGTTGCAAACTAGACTCGTAGGCCTTCGATTTAATGGGTGATAGGTCTTCTAACTCTTAATATATTGGGAGAAAACATCCAAAATATTTGACTTAAATTTTAGAGAAATCTTTAAAAATGAACTTACGATAACTTTTGCCAACTTTTATTTTGCCACTTACTTAACTTCAAAACTTGAGATACAACCCCTTGAACACGTAAAATATGACTTACCACATCATTTTAATTTATTACTCACCCTCCTTGTCTTTCCACAAAGATACGAGTTAATTTAGACGTTTTGAAAAGTCGGGGTGTTACAGTCTCATGGATGGTGGTTCAGTGTAGCTTGGGGTAGATTTGGCCATGAGATAGAAGTCACTTATTGCTGATGAGAAAAGTATTCTTTTGACATGAGATGTATGAAGATTCACTTTAGCCAATTACATCACTTCATTTAGATGAGATATACATAAATACCCCTCCGCCAACAAGTAGGCATGTTGACAGAGAGGAGCTAGATTATTAGCATTTATTAGATACTCCCTCCGTCCCATTTTATCTGAGGTAGTTTGACTCGGTACAGAGTTTAAGAAAGAAAGAAAATCATTTAAAAGTTGTGATCCAAAATGAATGATAGAAATTTGTGTTGCTGTAAATCATTTCATTTAGTGTAAAATAAACATTTATAGTTAAATTGTTACTTAATGTAGAAATGTTTCATTTTTTTTTGGATTAACTAAAAAGGAAAGTAAGTCACATAAATTGAGACAGAGGGAGTAGTATTTATTTATTTATTTATTACGGGCACTCTTTTGCTTCTACTGACACCCAATTATTATCTTTTTTAGGAGTGAATATCTAATCTATTGTTAGGTGTTAATGTCTAAAATTTTTGTCTTATACTTCACGAATGATTGTGCATTAATTATTGGCTTAAATTTCACCTTCAAAGTTGAAATAATCAATTAACACACACGTCTATTTAGCAAATCACAAGATGGTAATACATTTTTTTGGCTCTAATTCTTTGTTTATATAGAGTCTGTTAAATACTTTGAGTTTCTAATCAAAACCTTTTAACATCCATTAGCTTTAGAGAGTGAAGTAACACAATTTAATTAATTGAAAGTCAAATATGTTGGGTTTGAAAGTGATTAGAGCGTCATGCGTAAGTTTACAATTGCAAATCATAGAGTTGATAAATCAGATGACAAATAAAAGTATTCTAAACATATTATAAATATAGTTTGGTCAAACGACCTACATATTGAAAACTAATATTAAAAGAACATAAATTTTATTGAGAGAATAATCTCCCCATAAACTAAACTTTTAAATGTCTACACTGTGGATGCTATTGTGTTCTGTTATGAGAATAAAGATCTTTAATTTATAGATCTCCAATTTTTTCCTCTAAGGAAAAAACAAACCAAAGATGGAAGAAAATTATATTTCCTTTCGGGAAAATTTGAAGCATTTACGGTAATACTTTGATTTTCCTTCAAGAGAAAATAAATTTCAGATAAAGTAAGAAAATCAGGGTAAAATCCTAACAAAATATACTAAGAGTCCGTTTGGATTGACTTAAAAAAAGTAGCTTTTAAGTCAAAAATAAAAAGTTAAACTGAAATGACTTTTAAGTAAAAAAATAAAAAGTAGGGAAACTTTTGATTTTTGACTTATTTTGAGTCATTTTAAACTTATTTTAAGTCAATTTTGACCTTGTCACTTATTTTAAATCAATTTTAACTTATTTTAAATTTTCTTTTTATATTTGTCAAATACTACCAAAAATCAATACCTAACTAAACACCTTCCTAAGTCATAGCACACAGATGAAATCACAATAAGACAATACTAATTTAAAATTACTATTTTTCCCTTTATCTTTCACTATTTGTAATTTCCGTCAACGCACGTCTGCTTCCGGTCAGCGCCATCCCACTAACCGCACAGTCAGGCGAGTGGAAGGCCTCTTTATGTTTCATGTAAGTTTTTCTTCTTCTTCCAAATTTTTTTTTTTCATTTTGTAATTAAGTAGAAAACCTTGCTTTTGTTAGTTAAAGAAACGTTAAGGATATATAAGCTGTTGTTTGAAAGAGATCATAAAAACATTCACAGGGAAAGGACTCGAGCAATAGAAGATAATATTCAATGATTTCACTTGGGGTTTCATGATTTCACAGTGGTGTAGTCACCTTTTTTCATGGTTGATAGTAATTCAAATTTACAGGGTAGGGCTCCTTGCTTTGATTTACCCGTGCAAGGAGTATATGTTTTCAGGAGTTCATTGTACAAATTTGAATTCTAACTATGAGAATTATTGCATCTATTTGTTTGCTTGACTTCCTTTTAGTTTCCCAATTCACTTGGTGAAATTCAAAGAGAACATACTTCACTTTATTAATTTGTGTTGGATACATGGGATAAAGACTTGAAAGAATTAAACCAACCTCGAGGTTTTTAAAAATGATTAAGAGATGAAGGTAATATTGTACAAGCTAATAATTGAACACTGTAGACATTATCTGGGGAATCTTAATAACCCGTGAAAGTTTGCACCTTTCAAACAGTTGCACTAAGGGATGAACTTTCATGACTATAGGTTCCTAAAATCACTTATAGTTGTCATGACATATAAAGGTTATATAGCTAGGAAAAGAAGGCACAAAGCTTGGAATGTTACTCCTCTTGCTTTAGTGTGGGTCATCTGGAAGGATAAAAATAGGAGAGCTTTGAAGGGGTGGAGGTGAGTTTCGCTCAATTGAGGAGTAGTAATCGACCCCTTATAGTTTTTTGGTGCACCCATGTTGTTCCTGTTTGTATAGAGGATTGAGTGTCTTTTGGAGAGAACCATATTTTGTAGGTTTCTCCTTCTTGTATATGGCCAACCTTTGGACTTGCTCCAATTTTTGGCATGATCTTGGCCTTGTTTAATTGAAAACCCCTAGTTTATTTTAAGTGAAATTCATCCAAGATTCATTCAGTTGGTAGTTTCAAGATCTGGGTTTCGAATTCATTGAATTAATTTTTGGTTCATCTTCATCAAATTTTGGCATTTGCACTCTAGCTCCTAAGACTTTTAGCTTTGTGCACAGTCAAAAGGATGACTTATTGTACTTAAGAGTCAGACATGAATGGAATTCTTGGGGTGTTCCCAAGAGATAACTATTAAGTCCATTTAAATTCGTGTAGGTCTCGCGTTATGAGAAAATAAATTCATCTAGATCTCTGCATATCTTTTTGGTTAAGTAGCTAATGGTTATTTTTGGACCTTCCTTTGTTTTCCCCATTATATAAGAGAAGAGGCAATGGGAGAGCGAAAACCCTGTTCATCTTTGCATTTGCCTAAGTTCCTTATTCGAAAATTGTAGCTCCTTGATTGCCCATATAATGGTCCCAAAATCAGTGTCTTACTTTACTAACAAAGAACATGTATCGTTCGGCATCTTGATGCCATTTCCTTTCCAAGGCTATGTTCATGTACTACTGTCATTGCCAACTCGCCCAAGGGCAATGAGAAGATATCTTTTTCCTTAGGGTGCTACTTTACCGATTGTTTCTGAGTGGGTTAACTATTACTAAGTTTTTGACTGAATTTCACGTCCCGTGAGGAAGACAAAGAGCCTACATTGTTTGAGTGTCTACTAGATGTGAAGGCTGAGACGAGCAGAAGTGTGTATTTTTGATATAATCTTTCTGTTCACACACCTCTCCACATCCATCATCAGGATTTCGGAAGTAATGAAATTCAACTCTCCGACAGTATATGATATTTCTATGGACCATTGAGTTGGTTCTTAGTGTTATTGTTGAGTTGATTCTTAGTGTTACTGTCGGAGAATCAACACTAAAAGGCCAAGGTATCACTAAAAGTCCTGTAAATTCATGAGGTGTTAAAACTTTAAAAAAGCATTAAGGAATGTGAAAACACTTGTAAATAAAGTGAGTTTTTCAAATTGAACAGGGAGAATTCAAATTTTTTGATAACAAGAAACTTTATATGTTGGATGTGGATGATGATGACCACTACTATGTGCACCCAGTTAGCCTATTTATAAACACTAAAGCTAGCTGCTGCGCTCCCTTTCCCGCTTGGCTGCTTTCTGCTAGATTTCCTCCATCATTCTTCTATATTTGGATCAATGCCTAATATCTTACGCTTGATAGGCGGCTGGATTGGCTGAATCCTTAATTTTAGTGGTTGTATTATCTGACCAAGAAACACTCATCCGTTCACAATCTGTGAGAACTTAGTTGTTAACTAGTTCCTCCAACTGTAAGAGCTTCCTTGAACTTGGTCAAATGCGGTAACTCTCATATACCATGCTAAATTGGCTTATAGCTGTCTCTTGAATTTATCTTCTTGGACAGCCCATTCTCGGCATGATCTTTGCCAAAGAACTTCTTAATTGACTGGCCAAGCCCATTTTAGGCCTAATCCATCACTATGAAGACGATTATCGTCCTGCAACAAACTAGCTTCAAGGATTTGGTTTTTGACTTGGATTTTGATCCTTCAGTTGATCTGTGTCGAATCTTGGCATTAACAATAGGAAAAGAAGAACTAAGTTCCCAATTATAGTAATTATGATTCCAAATTCTTTTCAATCAAGGACCTATGAATAAGGCAAAGAAAATATAGCAGAACTATAAGGAAGAGATGAAAAAGATCTCTGTTTATACACTTTTAAATATCTACTTATTTTTTGTAACCACACTATTTAGTAGTATTTACTTTGAGTATAACATTTTTTGGTGCTTTAAAGAGAATCTTCTACATTAATATCTTTCGCAGGCTAATGGTGTGAAAGTGTATAATCAACCAAAATCTGGAGAAGAATAGCCAGTGATGTGGTGGAGTCTTTAACAGTCAATGAGCTGTGTATATCCTACTCTATAGTTGAAGAATGTCTGGAGATATAGGCTTCGTTACAGCACAATTTAAATCTCTGACCAAAACAGCAATACTCGAGAAGGAGAGGATTGAAGAAGAAGAGGCTGTTGTAAGCTCATTAATCCTACTTCTGATACGTGTTATTGTACCTTTCCTTTTTGGTCCTATATTTTTATTGTGGGCATTCAAGTAGGTTACCGAAGGGAGATTGTCTCGGATTCGTTTTTCAATGTTTCTTGCTACCTCCTATCATTAGTTCTGGACAGAGTCAGATTGAATTTAAAAGCAAAACGATCAGAGGCATAGTTATTATTCTTTTTGAATATGAACCTCCTCTTGGTATCTGAAGAAAAAGTGTCTTTAAATTCTCTTAGGCTGATGGTGGGAAAGAAGATAATCAACAAAAAGATGGAGCTGAAATTATTGGTGATGTAATGGCTTCAACAGTCACTGAACAATGTTCATGCTTCCCTGAAGGTGGTGAAGATTTGTCTGCAGATATGGGGTGCTCTTCAGCTCAACTTAAAACTCAGTCGGAACCACCACTAGCAGAAGAAAAGAGGAGTGAAGAGCGAGAGACCATTGTAAGTCATTAGTTCTACTTCTCAGTGTGTACACTCTTTTTTCTCTGCCACTTCACTGAACTTGTCATTCAAATAGTAGAGTTTTTAGTACAGATGATAAAAGGAGATCCAGTTTTGAATTTGGGTTTAATTGCATACTTTGTTTCTTTTTACAATAGTTCAGAGCAAAAATAGATGCAAATAATAAGTTGTTCCTTTCATAGACTATTTAGTAAGCATAATTACTGGTTTTGTGGTTACCTTTTGAGTATGAATCTGCTTATGGTATTTTCAAAAGTTCATTGTCAATGGATCTCTCTAGGCTAATGGTGAGGAAGGTTATAATCATGAGCACTAAGTGATGATGTTGTGGTGGAGTCTTCAACGGACAGTTAAATCTGGTTGTCCAACAGTGAAGTTGAAGAAATGCCTGTAGAGATGGGGAGCTTTGGGGTTCCACTTCAACTTTTGACCAAACAACCAGTATTTTAAAAGAAAGAACGAAGATAAAGATGTTGGGGATAAGAAATGACCCTTAGGCATAACTCAACCCCAAAAAAACAATCTCAAGAAGCGAGGATTGCTCAAAACGATATGAGGAAACGAACTATTCATTTCCTCCACCTATTTGAGATGCTTAACACTCTTCTGCACGCCGAAGACTTGACATTTGGAGGAACATAACATGGGACCCAACCTTTCATAAACCAAGAATTACATGCTCACGACTGGACATCTGGAGCATGAACAACATAGCATAGGGGCTAAACATAAGGGTCCAACATAGGGTAAACCAAACATATGAATGAGTATGGCTCTAATACCATGTGGGAAATAAAGTCGCATGAAGGAATGTTGAGAAAAAGCTTAGATTGATTATTCCCTCAAGCCTTTTGGGTGTTTAAATAGTGAAGTACATCTATTCTAAAATGAGAAAGAAAATTAAGGTTACTGTTGATTGATATTGATTTCCTGGCATAATTATAGGAGTAAATTGATCAAGAATTGATATAGTATTGATGGTAATTGATTATGTAATATTTCTTTCCTTATTTAGTCGTAGGACTTATTGTATAAGTACCCATTCTCATGGGATGGAAATTCATCAAGTAGTAGAAAGAAGCGTTTTCTTCTCCTTGAAATCCTCATGGTATTAGAGCCATTGCTGCCTTTTTGAGGTGAGTTATCCTCGCTTGCAGCACTAGGGTTCCCTTTTTTTAGAATGGTAACTTTTCATCTATATATCCACATGTATGCTACATCAAAAAATGTATTCCCCCCCTAAAAGTATTACCGTCTATATCACTGGATTCCTATTTGTACTTTTTGTTACAAATAGTCTAAAACATCAAAAATATCTTCTGGCTGCACTAGCACTTCCTGTTTACACCAAAAGTAATAAAGAGCTAAACAATTCATCTTAAAATTCTGTAAATTGTTCTGCTTGCCTCAAAACATCTCTGATTACTTTCTTTCCACATTGTCCACCATATACACGCTGGGACAATCTTTCGTCTCTTCCTTTTTCAGTAGCATTGCCCACACTGATCCAGCATTTTAGAACACCTTCTATATTCCAAGGTTTACCCAATGTTATCTTTCTTAAGCTGATCTACCCATTTGCAATGTAAAAAATAGATGGTTGACTGTCTCCGTTTGTTCCCAACATAAGCAACATCTGGAACGAAGTTGGAACCCCCTTTCCTTCATATTTTCCTGTGTCAGCACTGCTTTCTTAGCCAGCAGCCAAGAGAAACAGTTTACCTTGTATGGAATTTTAACCCTCCATATCATCTTCCGTGACCAATTCTCCTCCCTGTTATTTAAGACAATTAGATCTCGATATGCAGAATTGACAGTGAAAATCCCATTGCTGCCTATCTTCCACACTGCTGTGTCCTCTTCCCTGTTAAGTTACTGAAAGGTGCTATTGTGTTGTAGAAAGCACCTATCCTCTCCATTTCCCAGTCATTCAAATTTCTTTTGAGATGCATATTCCACCCTTGACCTGTACACATTTCAGCCACAATTGCCTGTTGTTGAAGGCTTAAAATGTGGATGCCTGGGTATAACTGTTTTAAGGGTCTATGATCTATCCATTTGTCCTCCCAGAATGACACTTTCAAACCATTCCCCACCATAAAACTAATTCTAGATAGAACTAGTGGTCAAAGGTTTCTGAGGGGTTTCCAAATGCGTAACCACCATCTTTGCTACCCACTAATCCTCCATTTCATATTTTGCCCTGATAACCTCCTTCTATAGCATATTTTCCCCTGTTACAAATTTCTATAGCCATTTCATCATAAGGTTTTTTTTTTTGATAACCGAAAAATCCGTCTGTGACCCGCCCTTTGGACCAATCACATCCGTCTAATCCCAACATTCATTAAAAAAAGCCACGGAGAATCCATCCTGCCCTGGTGCTTTGTCACCTGCACATGCTTTTATGCCCTCCAGTATTTCCTGTTGGTCAAAGACTGCCATCAACATTAATTATTTTCCTCTTCTCAAATTATGGGACAATTCCTTATATCAAGTTGTGGTCTCCAATCTTCTGACTCTTGAGTAAAGCTTCCTCATAATCTACTATCTCCTCTTGCACCTCTTCTGATTAAGTCAAGATCTCCCCTCTCACTTTCAGCTTGGCAATTGTGTTTATTCTCCTTTGTGCATTAGCAGTTCTATGAAAGAAACCGGTGTTTCTTTCCCCTTACTTTATTTACACTTCCCTGGACCTCTGCCTCCATGTAGTCTCTGCCCTTTTAGCTATGTTTTCAAACTCCATGTTAAGTGCTAATCTAGAGGTTATTTCTTCTTCCTCTAGTGCTCTGTGATCCTGTATCTCCTCTAAGTCAGCTAGAAGCCTCAAGAAATTTTAGTTTCTGAACATGATTACAAAAAATCAATCTAATATTTTTGAGCACAAAAAAAATGTTCCCAGGCACATTTTACGAGGCCTAGGTAGCTACAGGCTTTTGTCTAGACTTAGCTATTTTCTGGGGGCTTCTTCCGGCATGGGTGTGTGTTTAAGTGTAGATTTCTTGCAATACACTTAAACTTATACACGCAGCCGAGTCGATGGAACATAAATTCATGTTGCTGCTGTTATTTACAGTCAGGTACAGAAATTGAAAGATATTCAGCCTCATATTTTTATTTTTTCGCACCTTTTTGTAATTTTAATAGTACTGGATTGAAACGGAAGAAACATAGTTTAGGTGCCAATTATTATCCTAACCCCTTACTAGCCTATTATTTCATCGTCTGCTTGTAACTTAATGATGTGCTGAAAGTTAATAGCTTCTCTTTCTTTTCTTTTTTTATCCTCCATTTCTATTGGCAACGTTTCTTCTGGTTGTGCATTGAGTGAAGAACTTGGAAGCATAAAGCTCCTAATAAAATTTGATTTTTTCGAGCCTTTGACAATTGATTTTAGAGGTTTATTAAGGAGAGTGCCTTGCAGGTGCATGCTGAAACAAATGTGAAACAAGTGATGGTGTTGGAGACTGAATTATTTGAACAAAAGGGAAGTGTGGTGTTGCAGAGACTTCTGGTGAGTGTACTTAAAATTCAGATGTCATGTTTAAATAGTTGATTTCAACAACTGTGATAGCATATCATTACCAATTTTTGTAGCGGCCCCCAAGATATTTTAACTTCAAAGGGAGCATATGGGAAGCATGCCAAATATGTGGTGAAGAAAACCATGGAGCAGCAGGTTGTAGTCCTCTTGAAAAGAAGAAACGGCGATGCTTTATCTGCGGACATTATGGGCATAATGGAAAATATTGCAAGAAGGTCTGGTTACAATTGTTTCACCAGTTTCACCATCGTACTAAGCTGCTTCACAATTTTACGATATATATTATTTACCATTCTCGACCAAAAACTTCAATGTGAGTTATGTCGACACTTGGAACATACCTTTTCCCTGGGTTTCCTTTAAGTTATTGCAAAGCGCAAATAAAGCGTGGGCTTTAATGGAAAAAGGCGCAAAGGGAGAAAATAAAATAAAATGTGTATGTTTAGTCCAAGACTAATAATTATAAACATGAATGACAAATATATGACCAAAGAAATTGAATTTTTTTTATGATAAAGTGAAATATCAATTGTTTAGTGTCACTTCTTCATAAGAGGCTCATTGACAAGGAAAAGTTTGTCTTAAAACTTTGATGACGACACTGAAGCGCACATAAAGCGAGGCGAAGCGCTCAACACGTTTTGAGCCTCGCTTTAGGGCTTAAGCGCGCCTTTGATAACACTGACTTCAAAGGGAGCATATGGGAAGCATGCCAAATATGTGGTGAAGAAAACCATGGAGCAGCAGGTTGTAGTCCTCTTGAAAAGAAGAAACGGCGATGCTTTATCTGCGGACATTATGGGCATAATGGAAAATATTGCAAGAAGGTCTGGTTACAATTGTTTCACCAGTTTCACCATCGTACTAAGCTGCTTCACAATTTTATGATATATATTATTTACCATTCTTGACCAAAAACTTCAATGTGAGTTATGTCGACACTTGGAACATACCTTTTCC